TTCTGTCGACTAGTTAACTGAAATTGGCCGAAAATAGGAAAGTGGGTGAAATCGCCGATGAGTAAATATCGTCGAGACCGCTAACTTCGCGAGAGCATAATTCCCTAAGTTTTTCATCAAATTTTATACTTTTGGTGTCATTATGATCGGGAAAAGATTCTCTATCATTTCATAAGAAAAAATACTTTTTTTTCCTGACAAATTTTTGACCCTGAGAACGAGTTTAGGAGAGAGCCTCTTGACCTTGAAAGGGTTAATTACCCTACAAAAGGCTGCAATCAGAATGATAAATTCCCACTACAGGCAGCACACTCCACCAATATTCAAAACTCTAAACCTACTCACCATACAAAACATCCATACTTATTACTGCACCTACTGCATACATAGAACACTTAGCTCTGACATAAACCCTCCCCTCAAACGTCTCCTTACCAACCTCAACAGAACACATGACCATAACACAAGGCACAGATCACTCCTTGATGTTCATCATGTCCATCTCACGCTATGCAAAAACTCAATGCACATAAAAGACCCTAAAATCTGGAATTCATTACCTATGAATATAAAAGAAACACTGTCTGTTTATAAATTCAAGTCTTCTCAAAAATCACTAAATAAATACTGAATAACTGTATCTCATAAATGTTTCTCATTATTGTATCTCATAAATGTCTAACCTGTGACCCAATCAAACTTTGTTATTTTTTAAATACATTACCTAACAGAATACTCCATTCTATTGAATGCACAGCAACACAGTAAATGACCATATGACATGCCTTTGTAATACTCATTTGTGTTAAATTGTTATCTGTTTATAATAATGTTTTTACCACTGAATATATCATTGCTTAGTTAATCTTAGGTTAATTTTAAGCCTGCCCATAATGCTCTGCATACAAGGGGCTTTGGCATGTTGCACTTTAATATCTGTATTCCTTTGTACTTCTCTGTATCATGTCCAAATTAATAAATAAATAAATAAATAAATAAATGATCTCTTCCCTCTCCACATGCCCAAACCCTCTCAACAAACCCTCCTCAGGCCTCTTTATTATACTCTTTGTGATCCCACATTGCCTTATAAATTTCTATACCCCAAATTCACTGCATGATACAGTATTCACACCACACATTGCTCTCAAACATAACATCTCCACTGCCTCTAGCTGCAGCATTCAAACCCCATGCCTCACACCTATATGAAAATGTTGGTACCACAATCACTATACCCTGGTACTTTTTTTTTTGTCTCCATAGATAAATTTCTTCCTTTTCAGACATTTCAACACACCACTCACCTTTTGACCCCCCTCCTCCATTTATTCTATGGTTCACCTCGTCTTTCACAGACCCACATGCTGACATATCCGCTTCCTCTAGATGAATCTATTTCCTCCATAATCCCTCCCTCCAACCTGATATATTCAATCTATTACTACATAGGTTTTTTGTTATTTTCATCACTTTACTCTTTTCTAAATTTGCTTTTAATTTCTTTCTTTTATATACCCTCTGAAATTCATTTACTAACCTTTGTAATTTGTCTTCAGATTCCCTAAAAGATCTGTGTCATCAGCAAAGAGCAACTGGGGATAAGTCCCACTCTTAATCAGGATCAACATCCTTCAATCCCATCCCACCCCCTTTCACAACACCTCAGCATTTGCTTCTTTAAAGATGTTACTTCTTTAAAGAAGCGAATGTTACCAAGAACCAAAGTGACATACATCCCGTTTAAGTCCTATTTTCACTATTAAACAGTCCCCCCCCTCCTACATCCCTTGACTTGCACCTCACTACAAATAAAAACTTAAACAGTTTTAGTAACCTACCTCCTATTCTATACATTTGCAACACTGCCACAAGAATTCCCTATCCACCCTACCATATGCTTTTCAAAATCCATAAATGCAACAAACAGCTCTTTACTCCTATCTAGATATTGCTCACTTAGCTATATGCTTCATATACACACTTGGTTTACATGTCCCTTACCCTTTCTGAATCCTCCTGCTCCTCTGCTATCCTACTTTGTTTTACACATAA